TGTTGTTTTGGTTAAAAAGAAAAATGGTAAACTAAGGCTCTGTATTGATTACAGGAAGCTTAATAAAATTACCAAACGTGATGTTTATCCTTTACTACGAATTGATGAAATTTTGGATACTCTTAAAGGTGCCAAATAGTTCTCTACTCTTGACTTGGCTAGTGGATATTGGCAAGTGGAAATGAAGCCAGAGGACTGTGAAAAAACTGCTTTTATTACAAAATATAGGCTATTTGAATTCAATGTTATACCTTTTGGTTTAACTAATGCATCTGCTACTTTTTAACAAGTAAAGAATAAAATCTTTGCTGATCTTAAAAATAAATTTATTTTAGTATATCTCAATAATATTACTATTTATTTAAAAACTTTCAAGGAATATTTAGAACATTTAAAGAAAGTTTTTAAATGACTACAAAATGCTGAGTTAAAATTAAAAAAAAATAAATATTGTTTTGGAAAACAACAGCTAGCTTTTCTTGGATATATTATTAGTGAAAATGGTATTGCTCCTAATTCTTCTAAAATTGATAAGGTTCAAAATTATCTTGCACCTTGTAATCTTACTGAACTTCAAGAATTTATTGGTTTAGCTTCTTATTATCAAAGATTTATTCTTAATTTTTTACAAATTGTTTACCCTTTAAACACATTGTTAAAAAAAAATATTCCTTTTGTTTGGACAGAAACCTGTCAACAAGCTATAGATATTTTGAAGGAAAAATTAACAACTGCTTCTATTCTACAATATCCCGATTTTGAAAACCTATTTATACTTTTTACTGATGCTTCGTATCAAGACTTGGGTGCTATTCTTACTTAAAAGGATAATGAATATGTAATAGCATATGCTAGTAGATCTCTGAATTCTGCTGAAAATTAATTATTCTTCAACTGAAATTAAATGTCTTGCTATAGTTTGGGGAATGGAATATTTTCGAACTTATATTTATATGAAACATTTTGACCTTATTACTAATCATTCAGCACTTCGTTAGTTGCTAAATCAGCCTAATCCTGCCAAAAGAGTTACTCGTTAGATACAACGGATAGCTGATTATCCTTACACAGTCATATATCGCAAGAGATGAGTCTACTCAAATATAGATGCACTTTCTTGTCTTTCTAGAAAGCCACTCTAAGAAAAATATCCAACACTCTAACCAAAATGGAATCTACTCTCTATCTTAACTTTGTAAAATATCTAACAACTTCAAAATTACCCCCAAATTTGACATTAAAGAAACAACAACAATTTAAAAAAAAAGCAATACATTATATTGTTGAAAACAACCAACTATACAGGAAACCAAAAGGATCTTTACAAAAATTACTATATGTAGTTCAGAAATCCGAACTGCTTACTGTTTTACATGGATTACATTCTGATCTTCTTGCTAGACACTTTGGTATTGATAGAACTTATAATCGTGCTAAAAACAAATACTATTGGTCTAAAATGTATAAAAGTATTACAAGCTATATTCAAACTTGTAATACTTGTCAACGGCAAGGAGGAACAAACCAAAATTAACTCCTACATCCTCTACCAGTATCAGCACCATTTCACTGATATTGTTGGATCTTTAAAAATCACTTCTAATGAAAATCGATATATTGTAATAGCTACTGAATATCTAACAAAATAGCCTGAAGCTAAAGCTATACCTGATATAAAAGCTACTACTATTGCCAAGTTTATTTATGATGAAATTATTACTCGTCATGGATGTTCTCAAGAGTTATTATCTGATCAAGGTTCTTCTTTCTGTAATACTCTAGTTGATACTATTTGTCAACTAATGACAATTAAACATCGACTTGCTTCTGCCTATCATCCTCAAACTAATGGATTAACTGAAAGGTTTAATAAAACTTTGTGTAATATGTTAGCAAAGTATATTAGTGACTATGAGGATTCATGCGATACTTTTATTTCTGCTGCTCTATTTGCCTACCGAACTATTCCTCAATCTACTACCAAATATGAACCTTTTGAATTGCTTTATGGACGAAAAGCTATTACACCATTGGATTTAGCATTAAATTCTACAAGTAATGCTAAAGAGCCACCTTATGAATAGCAACTTCAAGTTCATATTGATCTTATAATGAATAAATTACAACAAGTCCAGTTAAAAGCTCAACAAAATATTGAAATAGCTCAACAAAAACAAAAGGAAAAACACGATAAACATGTTAAGAAAATTTCATTTAATATTGGAGATAAAGTATTATTATATCGATCTGCTCAAGCTAAGATTCACGGTGATTAATGATTTGACCCGGTTAGACCATAATCGGGTAACCGAACCGAACCGAAAAAATCGGGTGACTCGGTTAAGCAAAAGCTTAACCGGTTAACCCAGTTATTCGGTTGACCCGATATAATTGGTTGACTCAGTTGACCCGAATAACTCGGTTGACCTGGTTGACCCGAATAACTCAGTTGACCCAGTTGACCCAAATAACTCGGTTGATCTGGCTGACCTGATATAATCGGTTGACCCGGTTAACCCAATATAATCAGTTGAATTTTTGTGGCTTAGAAATATGTAGAAGGTAAAATCACTCATTATAATAACATTGCGAATTGGCATGTCATTTATAAGTATTGTGCTAGTTTACAGCTATTATTATAATTCCTGAAACACTTGATAAAAATTAGCCAAATTATCATTTGGCCGATTCGATTAAGTTAGTGATTTCGGCATAATCCATTATATAATAAAAATAATAAAAGCTATTATGACCAA